TCTGTAAGAGTCTTGTTGTCATCTCTGAATCTGATTCCAGTTGGAAATCTGAAAAGCCAGATCTAGTACACCATTGAAGAGCTGTGAGAACTACCTGAATCTCAGCCTGAAGAACCGTCTTCGCACGAATTGGGGAGGAAAAAACAGCAATCAAATTCCCCAAAGCATCTCGTAGGATTCCTCCGCCAGCACTCCTCTCATTACAGATATGATACGTTTGAAATATGCATTGATGTGACATTTTAAAAAGAGCATAACATCAGTACCAAATGAGCATACATAACTTATAAAATGTTCATTGATGTGAAACATCGTAAGGTTTGTTAGGATAACATAACGACATTTTCATTGAGCATCAAACATCTTCTATTGAGATGAAAATCATGATTTCTATTATATGAGCATTAATGAACTTTTAATGAGCATTGACCTATACAAATGAGCACATGTAACTACAAGATGAGCAATGATATGAAAATCGTAAGTTTTGTTGGTTGAGCATCAAACCTCCATTATTGAGTATTAAAATCTGTGGTTGAGTATCATAATTTGTGGTCTCGTGTCTATAATCAACTCCTATGTGAATCTAATATAATATGAGACTTTTGAGATATGCATTGATATAACATTTTAAAATGAGCATAACACCATAACACAGATACTAAATGAACATACATAACTTACAAAATGAGTATCCAAATATTAAAAAATGAGCATTGTGATCCCTACTTCATATTTTATAATTCATTTTCTTTCTCTTATTTTGTGTTTTATAAAAACATATTAAATTATATATTTACTCAATTCTTATGAATTTCAATATACAAATCTAACGTAATATGGTACGTTTGTAATATGCATTGATATAACATTTTAAAAATGAGCATACCATCAATACCAAATGAGCATACGTAACTTACAAAATAAACATTACACCAATATTAAATGGTGTACATATTTACGAAATGAACATAAAAAAATCAAAAGGCTTATTTAAAATCTCCAGTATGCTCAAATATTAAAATGTGTGGTGTAATGCTCATTTTAACTTACGAAATGAGCATATATAACTTACGAAATGAGTATCGAAAAATTTAAAAAACACATTGAAAATCTCTAGTATGCTCAAATATCAATTTGTGTATGCTCATATCACTATAACATAAAGAAACATCAATTTCTTATTTCAGACCAACAAATGTTATTGTGCTTATTTTTCTTTGGATACCAATGTACATTTAATTTAAATAGTATACTTGATAGATTATATATCTAGAGAGAAGGGAGAGCTAGAGAGAGAAGTGCAATAATTTCTTGCAATAAATGATTTGTCAACCCCTACAACTACTCGCAGAGGAAGTATTTATAGGGAAAATACGGGCTGGGCTCCCAGGCCTTAGGCTTGGGAGGCCCATTTACAACAGGGCCTCTAATGGGCCGAATACAAAGTGTACAGAAATGACTAAGTATAAAATCATGTTCTAGAGGCTATCTATGGTCGATGAGGGCATGGCCGATGAGGTCATGGCCGATGAGGGCCCGGCCGACGAGGTCACTCGGTTCTCCTGGCTTTTGGATCGTATTCTGAGTAGACTTCTTTCTGGATGATGGAGGTCATCCGGCCGACGGGGGTCCGACCAGGTGATCGTGGTACCTTCTGTTCTTCTGAGTATGTGGGTCCTGGGGCCTAGACCCATATACTCCATAGGAGTCCCCCACTCTCTAAGCTGAGACATTGACGAAGTGAAGGAGAGTAGATTTCTGCCCTTTTTTGTTTGGCCGTTGTGTGCTCCTCGATGTAGACGAAGAGGGCCCTAGTCATGCAGATGATGCGTGTTTTCTGTTTAAGGACGACAAGTGCCTTTGCTTGGTGGAGACGATGAGCGTCCTCTGTCATGAGTGGCCGATGAAGACGGTGCTTCCTTATTCCTGACCGTTGATGGTTGAATTTCGTACTTTGGGCCGAGGAGGCCATTGTGGTTATCTCTTGTTTGAAGACGATGAGTGTCCTTTTGTTTCCGGGTGGTCGGTGAGGGTGCTGTTTGCTTTCTTTGTCCGTCGTTGGTTGCATTCTGTGCTTTTGGTCGAGGAGGTCCATCCTTTTATTTTTAGGGCTTTGAGCCGGAGTGGTGTGGTGGTAATTTGGTGTCCAAGAAATGTTGGACGATAGTGATCATGGACGATAGTGGTGCACAGATGATGTGGCCTCGTGTACTTGTGCATCTTTTGATTTTCTCATTCCATCTTTGCGTCTTGAGGTCGGGGAAGTCCCCTAGTCCCCCACTGCTTCAGGTCGAAGGGAGAGTGAGGGGTGAAGGAGTGGTTTGAGACCCAGGCCGAAGCGGGATCCTCATGCTGCCCTTGAATCCAATCTTCTGGCGATTTCCTGACCAAGGTAACCCTGTGGGAGAATCCTTGGACGTAGGTCGCTTTCAAAGAGTTATCATCAAGGGTTTTCACGAGGGCCGACGGCTGTTGGGTTATTTTGCTTGGATTTTGTTGCCGATGTGGGGGGCGTTTGTTGGTAATAAGTGTGGTTGACATGGGCGCACCTTGGGGCTTCATATGCTGTGGTGGTGCTCTAATGTTAGAGCTGTTGGTATTGGATCCTTGGGTGCGGCCGTTGAATCCCCTGGCCGTTGTAGGTGCCGGTCTTGGTGCGTGACACCGCTGGGCTGATTGTACTCGAAGTGGGCTTGGCCCATCTTTGGAACGGTTGCATCCCATTGGTGACCGTTGGTGCGGCCACTGGGGTTGTGCCACGTGTAGTGACCGTTGGGGGGGAGTCTATAAATACCCCCCCCCCCCCCCTTTCGAAGGAGTTTCCCCATTTGCATTCTGAGCTAACGAAATGCTAGAGAGAAGGGAGAGCTAGAGAGAAGTGCAATAATTCCTTGCAATAAATGATTTGTCAACCCCTACAACTACTCCTACAGGAAGTATTTATAGGGAAAATACCAAATGATAGATTATATATCTAGAGAGAAGGGAGAGCTAGAGAGAGAAGTGCAATAATTCCTTGCAATAAATGATTTGTCAACCCCTACAACTACTCCTAGAGGAGGTATTTATAGGGAAAATATGGGCTGGGCTTCCAAGCCTTGGGCTTGGAAGGCCCATTTACAACAGGATCTCTAATGGGCCGAATACAAAGTGTACAGAAATGACTAAGTATAAAATCCTGTTCTAGAGGCTATATATGGCCGATGAAGGCATGGCTGATGAGGGCATGGCCGATGAGGGCCCGACCGACGAGGTCACCCGGTTCTCCTGGCTTCTGGATCGTATTCTGAGTAGACTTCTTTCTGGCCGATGTAGGTCATCCGACCGATGAGGGTCCCACCAGATGATCGTGGTACCTTCTGTTCTTCTGAGTATGTGGGTCCTAGAGCCTAGACCCATATACTCCATCAATACTTTTAATTATTTAGAAAGTTGAATGTTTTAATAGAAGAGTGAGAAAGGTATATTTTTGTATTGAATTGCCACTTGATATGAATTTCTGTAAGAACTGCATGAAAAAAATCTTGTAGAAAATTTACATAAAAATAAAAAAGAAATAGAAGTTCAAAATTAGAGGAGTAGAAGACAAAAGGTGTATATATATATATATATATATATATATATATATATATATATATATAAGTAAAAATCGGAAGCAGAAAAAGAAAAAGAAAAACTAAAGTTAGAAAAGTTAAAGTTCAAAATTAAAGGAAAACAAAAAAAGAAAAACGGAAGCAGAAAAAGAAAAGGAAAGTTAATGCATTTTTTGGCAAAAAAAAAAAGTCAATGTTACAAAAATTAAAAGTCAAAATTAAGAGAAAAGAAATCGAAAAACAAAAGCATAAAAAGAAAAAGAAAAACCGAGACGCAGAGATACTTGGCTGGAAGAGAGTGCGTCACACGAAGAGAAAAACGAAGGAAACAAATACTTTGGCTCCGTAATTAATAACCTGCATCTTGCAAATAATTACAAAACTATTTGTAATTATTTTTGTAATTACAAATATTTGCCCAATTGAGCTATACATGCAAATCAAGTTAGCACTTGTGCCAGCATCATCCGCAAGTCATATACATTCATCAGGGTGAAATGCAAATTATCTTCCGCTTCAAAAGATTGATCAGTCTCGTTTAGAAACATGTGAATATTGCACACAAGACATTAGAATGCAATTCAAAACTGCAATTCTTAGATATGCTTCTAATAATGAAGCAAAAGTTTTACATATTATGAGCTGAACTCTGTAAGATATATTGGTTGACCCTGGATAAGTCTCTTTAAATTTGGGAACCAAAACTTTTGCATATTATGTGTTGCAATTCAATAGATTGTCAACTCAACATCAGTCACATCGCTTTCAGTGCAGCCCTGAAGCTGTTTTACAGCATAAGCATAAACTGATAAACTTTTTTTACTTGGACTATCTCCTAGGTGAGACCTGCATATACACTGCACCTTTCATCATAACAATCTATTGACTGTTCATGAGCTGCATACGATAAGATAATAGAACTTCTTTCTTCATTCAAGCAAATCATATGTGGATCTCAATTAGCGAATAGTTATCTCACATATGAACTAGGCTCGACATTGGGCTATAATTCCATGCATAAAATTACAAACCCCTGTTTGGTTTTCCTCGCCCAAACAAACCCAAAGAAAAATAATAGATGACACAGCATAGCAATTAAAAGGCATGAAATGATCATCGTCATTAGTCAGTCCGTCTCACTTATATACGTATTGGATTAAGAATATCTAAATGGCAATTTCCTATCTTGAGCTCAATACTATGGCTCTATCCAAAAGCACAAGTTACTATCTGTAAGCTGAAGTCATGAAACACTTGAGGCTCATTGTGTACTTTCATTCATGGTCGATTCAAACAAATCAACCCTAATCCATAACTCAAGAACTCTGAAATGGATGCATGGAAAATTTGTTCCATGTTCTACACTCAATGTAAACAAAAACTCTTAACAATAGTGAATTCAATGCCATGTCTTCCCCAAGGATCAGAGTATACTTCATTGGTTCCTTTTCACTTCTTACAGTAGCAGAACTATAGCCAAATACACATAAATATTTGATATAAGATGCAGCCTATATGCAAGAGAATACTCAAAAACACACATAATTGCTATTCATACACATTTCCCACGACAGAAAGCAGGATCTATGAATAATCCGAAACAAGAGAGAATAAAAGAAACAGCATATAAGGAAAGAACGAACCCTTTTTTTAATTCTATACTGCAACGCTTATATCAGAAATTAAAATTCGGGTTTAATGCTAGCATGAGGGCACAGAAGACGGGTAGAGGCGAACGAACTGGTCTTGATGTTCTTGGTATCGGCGCTTGAGGTAATTCTCAAGGATCTCCATGACGCAGACGAAACGCTTCATTTCCTCGAGTTTCTGGCTGATGTCGGCTTCCCTAGCTCTGGCTCGCTCAAGCCGAGCCTCCGTCTCTGCCAGCCGGTCCCGGAGATTGTCCACCACTACTGCGTTTTCATTCACCGCAGCTGTGGCTGCTCGAGCTCGCGTGTGGCCGGCAAACTCGTCCTTCGACGGGAATCGTTGACCGCCGTAACACATACTCTATTACAAATCCGATTCGGCCTATCGACGACCTACTGCGAGAACGGAGTCCCACCACTATTTCCGCCTCCGATTGATGATATGGACTTTCTTTACAAATATTTCTATGAATACTTTTTTGGGTAGCTCTTCGGTGCATTCCTCTTATCTAATTTTCTGTACATTTCTACATGTGGCTTAATATAATTGGAAGACATTCCACGTAAGAATTTCCGTATAAGACTTTAAAAAATTGCATAATGAACCTTACATAATACGAAAACCTTGTACTCACTTTTCCCTTGTTCATTACTCGTTTTTTCCTTCAGAAATCCAAGGCTTCTTCATTTCAATTTTATCTCCGCTTCTCACAGCATAAGAAATCCGACCGAATATGGGACAAGAAATACAAACGAGAATTTGCTTCTATTTTATCTTCGCTTCTAACAACAAAAGAAACACTACATCTATTTCTTTTGGAGGGTTCCGGAATTCTTCACGATTTATCTGTAGCCACCTCCAACGCTAAAATGTTGATAAAGATCTGATGTAGCTGTGATTCTGCAACTTGGGAACGTCAAGTTCTATCTCTAGCTCCATTTCTTAACCAATCTGTACTCTATTAAATCATCATCGGAAATCGTACGCTTCATCTATTTTTGTGCCAAGAAGAATGGTTATATCCTCTTCATTCTTCAACCTTCACACCATCATAAGATATGTAGAAAGTTGTTCAGTGTGACATGTTAATTTATTTGATTTAACATGGAAAATATATTTCTTTTGATGTGTTCTATTAGCAGGTTTGGTGGTTACTGATTAGTTCTTTTAAATGTGTATATGTGGGTTAAAGCAAGGAGGTTTAAGAAGCAGTTGAAATAGTTGAGTCACACTTGGGATCAAGATTAATTGTTTATGATAAGGACTTGATCTTTATGATAAAAAGAGTAGAGTTGAGATGGAATGACAACTGGGTTTGATTTAGCAGACATTTACTATTAGATACTCAAGTTTGCAACGGGACATTCTGGTAAGTCGGGTCTTGATGGCCTTCTTCGAGACTATTTAGGAACATGGATCTTTGGAATCCTAGAAAAGATAGACGAAGACTCCCTCCATGGTCCTGTCTACATACTTGTCCAGTCGATTTGTTATTCAATCTCCTCCTTTGTTAATATAACGGCCACCTTATCCTCAGGTTCCATTTTTCCGTCCACCTCCTTCACATATGCGACCCATATCCGTGGATCATTCATAATATTTGATTCCTTGGAACAAGAGTAGACAATTATTAATCATTTTGAGATTATGGGTCATCATTGTAAGGTGTTTGTGGATTCTGGTGATGTTGGACGAGATATTGAGTTGTTTGGCTTTAGCTCATATGAGGCCGAACCTGTATAAAAAACCAGGTGATATGTTTAAGATTTACGATACTGCCGGTTTAATTCAGCACACTGGAGATGAGCGATTCAGGTGGTTTATACTCCATAATATTTATTACTCCTTACCTCCATTTGGTAGCCAGTCCTGGCTTACCAATATGATACACATAATAAGTAGATTTTGAGTTGTTTGTGTGGCTGAAATGGATGTTATAATTAAGCACTCTTCTTCTTGCTAAAAAATACTTCTTCTGTCCCATAAAATTCTTCCCACATTAACTTGGCACGCATATTAAGGAGGTGAGAGTAATGTGGAATATATAGAAACTTTAATCCATTGAGGTTGGTTTGAAGTTTTGAACACAACTTTACTGTCTTAAGCATTCATATGTTCCGAAAAATATTCAAAATATGGAAACAATACATCTAGAAATTTCTGAGTGAATGCTATGCAGATGTACTACCACTTTCAAGCTAAAACCTTCATCAGTTCTCCCTAGACATGTGATCATCTTTTGAAAGAGCTACATAGTTTAAAGGAATGACAGTAGCAGCTTTGACACAATCTCTCCTTTCCTTAACAGTAGAGGGCACTACATGCTGAGCAGAGAGTGGTCCACAACGACTTGGTGTGCACCTGTTAGCACTTGTGCTCTGACCCAGCTTCTTTCTTGTGGACTATGAACCGTAGAGAGCCTCATGTTCAGCAACAAACTGCTCTTGGAGTCGTTTTTGTTCCTAGAGCTTAAGTACATGTCATCATAATACAGAAAGAGTGATAAAGCATTGTTATTTATGCCTATTCCAGCCGTAATTAGGGTTTTAAAAGCCAAATACCCGGTTTTGCACTGTTCTTCATGTTTCTCTTGCCGCAGTATTCTATACTCCTCTAATGTACGGAGCAAGGGGACCTGCAAACAGCCAAACAAACACTTTTGTGATTGAGTAGGCTACCACTTCACAGACAAGTATTATGTGAATGAAAGAAATAAAAGCTCGCCTTGTCATATAAAAATGGCATTTCAAAAAAAAGGGAGTAAAACATATCTATTGAGAGTTAAATGATATTAATACCTAAGAGTATATTTTTCCATTCATTCTTGGGTTATTGTAAGTTGTTTATCACCCTTATCTATATTGTCGGGTTACAGAAGCAGAAATACAACTCATCACTTTCAAAAACACACATACCATCTAAACTTCAAGTAAAACCTAATGGCGAATGAAAACTCTCTAGTAGCATGATTAAGCAAAAAAAGGGAGTTGAACATTGAAAATAAGCTTGGGGAAGCTTTGAACTCATTTAGTGAATATCACCTTCACGAAATTGCTATGGGTAAGCTCCAAGATCCTTAAATGGATGAAAATTAACGAGTGAAAAGTAACCACAGCTCCGCCTTTTGAAAAGGACCACAAATCAGCCAATAACTCCAAAATAAATGAATGAAATCAAAATTATTACATATTCCATGTCAGAAAAGTGATTTACATCATACGAAGTATCTAAATATCTATAGAGAGACTCAAGTAAAAGATACATCAAAATTGATCAAAGAGGCAAGGAACTAAGCTACTCCTATCTTTTCAAGGCCAATTAAGTCCTCGAGTATCAGTAACATTACAATCGGCACACTCTCATTTGTGCTAACCTTCAAAATAACCATCCAAACGCAGCACATGCCTAAAGAAATTAGGGGCGAACCGGACTCGACTTATGACTTATGTGATTAAAAAAATTTGGGGTTTTAGGCATAAAAAGCCTATCCGTGCAACACAAGTGGCTAGCATGCTTCATGCTCGCTCGTAAAGAAGAACGACAAGGTGCAGATTTTACAGTTTGCAGCATATGAGTAGATTCCCTGAAATAAACTTGCGATCAATAGGATGCAAGGGGGGAAGGGTAAGAAATGGATGGATTTCTCTGTTGCGGTTCCCAACTCCCAGGCTTGAGGGGTGCAGTCGCTGGGATGCTACTGATTGAGTTAGAACTAGTACGGAGCTTCGTAAGGGTGGATAACTGGTTGTGTTTAGTAAATACATATTGTAATAGGACCAATCTACAAATACTTTAACAAAAATATGACATGGAGAACGAAGCCAATAAACTAATGCCAGGTGTGAAACGCACCAAAACCTTTCTTGAAGTTGATGCACCGTAAAGTTTTCCTACTTTTTTTTACGAGTTACTCTTTTAACCAGAAAGACTTGAGCTATCGCTATGTCTCATTTAACTTTTTAAACTTTTTTTTGGATGTTTCATTAACTACTTTATGTTTGCTTTTTAGATAATTTCTTTTACTCATTTCATCCCGCTAAGATTGTCTCATTTTACCTTTTCGGGAAATTCCACTAAGATTGTCTCATACCTATTTGGTAAAGTTTGTGTGGCTCTTAATCATTCTTATTTTATTTTTACTTTATGAATTCAATATCAACCACATAAACTCACTTTTCTTAATAACCGTGTCATCTTCTTCCGTCCCAATGTTAGTGGGACGGAGGTAGTACATTAAATGTTCTAACTATCAGTCACTATCCATCCACTTTTTACATTTGACTGGATAGTATTATTTCCCCCCAAAAGTAAAAAAACATGCAAGACATTTGTTCTTCTATTAATTGAGCTCCTAAAATATTGTGTCAAAAGCAAGCGTCGAGTTCTATTTGGGACGGAGGGTGAATCGTATTGGAAAGTCCTTGGAAAGTGTTGTGTGAATAAAGTTCATTTTTTTACTCAATCACAATCATAAATTTCCACTTTATTCTCATTTTCTTAAATTTCGATCTAACTCAAACCTGAAAAATATTTTATGGGATGAGGGAGTATTAAACAAATAATACTCCGTATCACATTTCACTAATAATTTTTCTCCAATAGTTTTATTATTAGGAGTGAGATTTTGGAATCGAGAATTCTAAAATCGGCTAGAACCGAACTGCTATAACCCAGTTCGATTTGATTCCTAATAAAAAAAGTGTATTAGTGGTTAACGGTTCGGTTAGTAATAATAAGATATATTACTCCCTTTGTCCCGAAAAATTATTCCAAGTTTCCTTTTTGGGTCGTCCCAATAAATTCTTCCAACTATCCAAAAAGGAAACCAACTCATACTAAAAAGCCTATTTTGCCCTCCCCTTTTAAAAATACTTCGTATTCCCTATTCCATATTCCTATCTCCCATTTTACCCCATCTGCACCCCTCTCTCCCATTTACTCCCACCGCCTCCCTCTTTCTTTGTCACTGCATCGGTCTCTCTAAATTACTCCAACCGTCTCCCTCTCTCATTTACTTCAACCGTCCCACCCTCTGTAAATCTTTCTACCCTTCTGCCTCCATCTCTCTCACAATCTTCTGGATCTAAACCTTAATAGTTTCAATATGGAGATTATTGAAGAGGTCATCGTCCCTGACAGTGAAGAGGGTCTCTTCCGAAGGAAACAGTGGCGATGGATTTTGCAGACCCTGTATCGGTACTCCATCTGAGGTGCATGGCTCAGAACTCCCCGGATAAGGATGGCCTCATGATAATCCCGGACAGTGAAGACGATCTTGTCGAGGATGTTAGCGAGAAGCCTACAGAGGTTGTGGGGGAGACGGTGGACCCAAATTTGCTAAAAAGACGCAGAGACACCGACATGCATCCTATTCGGAGAAGTCCTCGACCGGAAGAGTTCCTAAAACTTATTATATCAAAATGGGAAACAAGGATGTGGGATGTGGATACAGATTATGGGAGTT